GCCGCGGTGACCGGTACTTGACGGAGCCGTCTTGGTTCAACGCGGTTTATTACCTCAAGGCGTTTTGCCCGGAGTTGCTGGAGTGGTGGTTCCGGGTATTTGTTTGCAAACCCGCCGGCGCCTCTGAAACACTCAACAAACAGATCCTCGATCTCACCGGAGCAAAGGATATTATGTATCCCCTTTCAATTCGCTCCCCCGACGTGAAGGCGGAGTGATTACAAAGATGTGAATTATCTGTCTCTGATGCTGCTTTCATGACTATAGCTGCTCTGTGGCTGCTGGCTTTCTTTTGTTGGAATAAGGTTGTACATTACTCAATATGTGACAGGAAAAATCAATCTTGGCAAATTATTGGTTAAAGATACAAAACAAAGTTAAATTATTAAATAAGACTTGATATATTATATTTAAAAAGAAAAAAGTTAATTCCGTTATATTTTTAAAAGATGCCTTCATAAAAGGTTTAATAATAAAAAATAAGATTTAACAATTCTTCATTCATTCAAATTTTGTAGGGATTCAAAGACATTTAAGTTTTAAATAATAATAAAAATAATGGTAGATTTAAGTTTAACTTAAAAAGAAATTGATTTTAGTAAATTTTAAGGACCTCAAAAACATTTATATTTAAATTAAAAAGGGAAAATCGGATTAATTAAAATAAATAAAGTTTAAATGAATAAATTAACAACAAAAGAAAATTAAGAAATGGAGTGAGATAAAACCGGCGTTAAGAGAGTAGTTGAGAAGATCAAGGAATGCGTATCTTTAACGGCCAGCAAATTCCCTAATTTTTCTAAATAGTTTGAAACTATCTCTCTTTTCTCTAATTTTTAAAAAAATCTTTCCAAAAGATATGATATGATAAACTTATTTAATTCGAATTTGCCTATGTTCTAATTTTGTTCGAGGAATAAGGTTGTACATTATTCAATACGTGATGGGGAAAATCAATTTGATTTGGAAATTGCATGCCCTTCCTAAATTTTAAACCTAGTGTTAAAGAAATCACTCAAAATAAACAAAAATAGCATAGGAATGAAATTTCACCCAATTCGGGAGATGGAAAGATGTTGAGCCACGTAAGAATCCAGCTGTAAACATTACGTGTTGCCACGTCCTCTGTTTGAGTGTTGCAACATTGGTTCGTAGCGCCAAGCGTGTTCTGTTCTTCTTAGCATATGATCCAAATTCCAAATCACCGATTCATTCTTTCCCAAAACTAAAATTCAAAAACCCTCGCTTTCAGACCTTGTCGTTTCAGTAAAACGACGTATCGGCCCGCTGCAATTTAATTACATCTATAACCTATTTGCTGTGGATTCATATTAGGTAGACACAACCATCTCTGATGAATCGTGTAAAGGAAGCGCCGACATAAATTTCTGTTGAGATGAGATCGTGGAGCCCATCTTCTGAAAACACACTGACAATTAAGATATGATTCTCATCCCGCCAATTTAGAGACACAGGCAGAAAGTTGATTTGGTTATTTCTAAGCAGGTATATCTGTTCATGCATTTGGACAATTGCCTCCTTTAATTTGTCAGTTTAGGTTATTTCTCAGCACGTATCTATGTTTATGCATGATAATTGCCACCGCTTTCTTCTGTTCTGCCATATTATTTTCAATTGTTTACTTATATAATGTCAATAAATTCACTATCTTTTCAGATTATACCTGCTCTGTTTTATGGGAGAAAAACAGAGGATAGTTAAACAATGATGATGAACATCCTTCACAGTTTTCTAAATTTAGTAGCTCCACCCTTCACCTTCGTTTCGCTCTTCCTCCTATTGCCGCCTTATCAGGCTTTGAAATCCTTCCTCTCTATTGTTTCTGCTCTCTTTAGCGAAAATGTCGCCTACAAAGTCATTCTCATAACTGGAGCTTCCTCCGGCATCGGCGAGGTAACAAATTTAAATTTGTTCACAAATAATCTACCCTGTGTGAACAGGGGTGGAGTTAGAGAAATATTTCAATACTGAAACCAATATAAACCAAAAGTTAAAACCATTTTAATTAACTTTTTGGGAATCCCTAATGTATGTGAATAAAGGTTTAGAAATAACAAATAATGGTTTCTATTTCAGCATTTGGCATACGAGTATGCAAAGAGAGGAGCTTTCTTAGTTCTCGTAGGCAGACGAGAGGAGCCACTCGAAGAAGTCGCGGATATAGCTCGCTGTTTTGGCTCTCGAGACGTACTCACCATTGGAGCAGATGTTTCCAATTTGGAAGATTGCCGTCGGATCATCGACGAGACGATTAATCACTTTGGGAGAAGTGAGTCCGGAAATTTTGCACAAGAATGATTTAAGTAATTTCGTTCTTTATTTGATTTTCTGATATTGATGATGCAGTCGACCACCTGGTAAACAACGCGGCAATCACTCATTTGGTGATGTTCGAAGACATAACCGATATTGCTGCGTTTAAACAAATAATGGTAGTCGCTAACAAAACAATCACTTGTTAGGCCCCTGTTTTAGTTTTATGCATTAATTTGTGTGGAAATTTGCAGGATATAAATTACTGGGGAGCCGTGTACATGACCCATCTCGCAATTCCATATCTGAGATTCAGCAGAGGGAAAATCGTGGCCCTGTCCGCACCTCCGGCGTGGCTGCCGGCGCCGAGAATGAGCATTTACAATGTAGTTTTAGTTCAATTTAGAGAGATTTTTGTGGTGTTTTGAGTTTTGAATGCACGATGTTGTATTATGTGTGCAGTCGAGCAAGGCGGCGATTAAGAGCATGTTTGAGACGTTGAGGGTGGAGCTGGGGGCGGACATTAGCGTCGTAATCGTGACTCCTGGATTTGTAGAATCTGAATTGACGCAAGGCAAAGCATTGAACGCCCAAGGCAAAATGGAACTCCGTCAAGACATGAGAGATGTGAGCAAATGAAATTGGTTGGTTTGGGATTGGGGATTGGGGAATTGGGGAATTGGGGAATTGGGAAATTGAAATGTGGGGTTTGAATTGCAGGCACTGATAGGGCTGGTGCCGGTGGAGTCGGCGGAGGCGTTCGCGAGGGCGGTGGTGAAGGGGATATGCCGGGGAGACAGGTACGTGACGGAGCCGCCGTGGTACGACGCGCTGTATTACTGGAAGGCGTTTTGCCCGGAGTTGGTGGAGTGGAGCTACCGGATACTGGCTATGCCCAGGGCCGGAGCTGCTGAACACGACGCCCTCACCAAGCAGGCTCTGGATTTCACCGGTGGCAAGCGTCTGCTCTATCCTCCTTCCATTTGCTCCACCGACCTCAAGCCCGGTTATAAGAATTTTTAATTTTTAATTAGAAATTTTGTAGCTGGATATTGCTAAGTGCTACCTCTTAATTTTGTGTTTGTTGTGTGAAAATTATGTGTATAAATCTTGTAATCTTTCCACTCGGTCTCTAATGTGTCTATGTCCCTTTTGCGTTCCTTGTACAATATATACCAGAGTCATGCTCATGTGTAATATACAGTTGTGTTTTCAGGTTCTTGTGAATTTTTAATTTTGTTTTATGTTGGATAAGTATTAAACTCGCAACAGCTTATAAAACTTGAAAAGAAGTTTATTATACACGAAATTAATATAGCAATGAATAATAGCCACGATAATTAGCACTAATTTATAAACTATACACTCAAATATATTTAGAATTAATGCGATTCGATGTCTATCTCTACGATTGTATCGTCGAAAGGGAAGGTTTTAGTCCGGAGCCACTCGGTTGCTGGGAGCTCCACCACGTGGCATGCTAATTGGTTCTGTGTCGTCCAGATTTTATTCCGCAACACCTTGGCTGCTAAGAGCCCTGCCACGTCGCGCGGTAGTCAGTTCTGTCGCGTCCTAATTTGTAGCAGTGTCCACGTGGTTCTTGTTTGCCACGCAACGGTGCCACGTGAGTCTGTTCTTTCTTCATCGTTTTAAGCTCACCTCGGGGCTGGGTGTAATCGCAGAGCATCCATGGATCTTATGAACAATTTCTTGAATATCCTTCTTTCTCGTATATCTCTAACGGCCTTCTTCGTCATTCTCCCGGCATACTTGATCTTCAAGTTTCTCTCCTACATAATAAAGTCCATCTTCAGTGAAGATGTCGACGGAAAAGTGGTTCTCATCACCGGAGCTTCCTCAGGCATCGGCGAGGTTCTGCCTCTAGCCCACCCTGTATTTCGACGAATTTTTCACAAATTTGGATTTAACTTATTTTCTTGATTTTTGAAGCATCTGGCGTACGAGTACGCCAAAAGAGGAGCTTATTTAGCGTTGGTTGCCAGAAGGGAAAATCGCCTCCGCGAAGTTGCCCACGTGGCAGAGCTTCTTGGCTCCCCATATGCTCTCGTCATTAAAGCTGATGTTTCCAAGATCGAAGACTGTAAACGCTGTATTGATACAACAATCGCACACTTTGGACGACGTAACTAAATTCTTACAACCCTGATTACAATTACTTCTCAATGTTTTGATTGTTGGTTTGGAAAATATTAGTCCAATCTCTTCTGCCCTGATGGGATTTTGCGAATTTTAATGACGAAACAGTGGATCATCTGGTTAACAATGCCGGGATAACCAGCATCAATTTGTTTGAAGAATATGACGACGTGAGAAATATGGCATCAGTAATGGTGATAATCGCAAAACCCACTTTTCCGATTGAGTGAAATTGAATGCAGTGAGTTTTTAATCCAAATTAAATTTGTGCAGGACATAAACTTCTGGGGAACAGTTTATTGCACTTACAATGCGATTCCACATCTAAAACGAAGCAGAGGGAGGATAATTGGAATTGCTTCCTCCGCGGAATGGCTACCGGCGCCGCGGCTGAGCTTCTACAGTGTAATTAAATTGATATGTTCATGAATATATGAACAGAACATCCCCTGTTTTCATTTTCCATTTCTATTGTGTGCTCTGTTTTTTCTTTTGTGGTGATTGTAGTTCTGTAATAACATTTAAATTGAAGGCAAGCAAAGCAGCAGTGGCAAGTTTCTACGAGACGTTGAGAACGGAAATTGCGAAAGAGGTGGGGATTACGATTGTGACTCCAGGGCTGACGGAATCAGAGGTGACGCAGGGCAAATTCATATCCAAAACAGGGCAGATGTACCTGGATCAAGAA